TACTATAATTGTTTGTGTGTCTGTGTGTGTGTGTGTGTATGCCTCCAGGAGGCTGCTGTGCTGCTTATGATTTCTAAAACATGGCTTTGTGTGTATTTTCCTGCACTGTTTCAACAAAAAGAGCACGAGAACAAGATTAAAAAAGCCCACTACTTTAATATTATATACACAAGGAACCACAACCAGAGCTGGACCATGGATACACACACAGACAAAATAACACCTACCGAGTCACAATAGTAAAATCCACCTGCTCTCAGCTTTGTGCGGGTACGCTTCCTCATCCCCATTGCCACATCGGCATGTTTTATTACTCGCATTCATCACAATCACACACACTGTTCTATATCATCTTTATCTCTCCTCTCTATTAGCTGCCTTTTCCCTTCATCTCTCCTCCACTCCTCTCTGGAGAACACAGTGAACAGATCGAGGTCAGCCACAGATGGAGAAGAGTAAGGAAAAGTTTTGCTAGATGAGATAAAAGATGAGGTGAACTAGACTTTCACTCCTGCTTTTGAGACTTAGATGTTAATTTTCCCTTGCCTATAAATCATTACTGAATTTTAAAAAAAGACATTCGAGCACTTACATACCTCTAATGAGAGTCCCAGTGACCAGTTTGTGTAGGGATATGGCAAACTTCATAAGCCCCTGTTTGCAACGCTTGACACACCCCGTCATCCTGACAGTGACCCGGGACACAGCAGGCTGAGTAGGGTCAGGGCAGGACAGGGGTTTCCGGGACAAAATCAGCAGCACTTCCAGCAGCTTTAGCAGCTTTCTCAGATCGAAATGGCAATCAATACAACTTCTTCTGGTGGAGTGTATGGATCCAACAGAGTGAAAGATGCAGAGGAGAGTGTGCACTCCTTACTCTGTTAGCTCTTGTCCTGCTGAGCTGGAGGGAGGGAAAAAAGACCGATCTCCCTCTGCTTCCCCTGCTTTCCCTCCCCCACTCCTCCTTCGCCCTCTCCATTCCACATCTGAATGTGTCCAAATTAGTGTCTGCTTAACAGCGAGATACAGTATGCATGTAGAGAGAGTGGGTAAGAGAGAGAAAATGAGGAAGCAGAAAGCGTGTTAAAGAAATCAACACTCAGCATCCAAGTAAGACAACTGCAGCTTGTTAGAGGGTTCAAAATAAAAACTTCATTTCTATCTGCAGTCAGGGTTTGAAGCAATCTCATCAACTCTTCTTGATTTTCTCACTTCTTCTTCTTTTATTCAGTCCTGCTTATCGAATGTGTCCCTCTTTTAAGTGGGGGCACACTAATCGACTTTCAGCACCAGCGTCAATAGACAGCTCGGAGCACACACATGCTGTACACACTCCTCCTTCAAACCCTCCCACAGACCTTACAACATAAGGGCTGTGGGACCCCATAGAGGTGAGAAGGGAATTTATAATTATGATTATACTATAATAGTGTTGGCAAGTTAAATTTTCATTGATGTATCTTATTTTATTAAATGCCCACATTTGAATCTGCAAAAGAACACGTAACTATAGCTGTAACGTAAATGTTAAGGGAGTAAAATTAATATTTTCTTTAGAAATGTACAGGTATGATGTACTATAAAATAGGATAGCCAATATCTTCAAAACTGTACTTATTGTAAGTACAGTACTGGAGTAAATATATATACTGTAGCTACTTAATGCTTCTCACTGTGAAATCTTATTATATGTACTGGTTATCTTAAGGCACGTTACTTTGTTTTCCTTGACCTGGATCTCATACCGTACATCCAGCCAGACAGCAGCACTGCCAATCAATTAGTCCAGCTATATTTGACCAGTATTGTAATAGATCACATGCTGTTGACCTTTGCCAGACCTACAATCCAGGTAGGCTTTACATCACACTATCATCATCATCTGAAACTGGCACATAGCTCAAGAGAGATAAAAAGCCACAAAGAGAGAAGAAGAGATTGAAAAGAAAAGAGAGGCACGGGTGAGAGAAGGAATAAGAAAGAGGTTGCAGGAGGATAATCTTATAATGCCCTTCTGGGCTATATTTAGTCCCGATTCATGTATGGTGACTAGACTGGAGGTTAGAATACACAACAGAAAAAACAGTAATAATGGCAAAGTTAGGAGAAGGAATGAAGAAATAAATATAAACAAACACTATGGGGGGAAGCGAGAGAGAGAGAGGCAAGCAATGAAACAATATAAATGCAAATGTAAGGCGTAAAAAAACAAAAATTGAGACAATTGATGAAGGAGTAGGGGAATGAACTGGGAATGAGCTTGCCAAGAGGAGGAAGAGAGGAGCTGCGGAGGTGGGATGTAAAACCTAATGTCCCATACAATCTCTTTGCTATCAAACTGAAAGGTTCAGCAAGGCTTAGTACTTTTCACAAATTCTGAACGTTCTGGTTCACTATTCATGATGGCAAAAGAGGGGAGAAACAGAAAAACAACAAAAGAGCAAAGTGAATGAAAAACAGCAAAGGAGAGGTGTATGTGTGTTGTGTGTTGTGTGTGTGTTGGGGGGGATTATTGTGTGGGGGAATTTGCATAAACATGTTTTTCTATTAGCGCCCCCATTGTTCATGATTAATGAGATTAGGGGTTGCCTTTGCACACAAATTCAGGGATGTAATAGCAGTTAATTGCTTGTCTCTTCCCAAATTAGAAGTTGTGCTGTTTTATGTTTGTTTCAATATGGATTTGCTTAAAGTGATGAAGCTCCCATTTCTCTGCCTCGTAGGAGAGGGCGTTGGGCTGTGCATGATAAAGATGTGCAGAAAATTAAAAGGGAGCTAGAGTGGAGGAGAGGCGAGGAACTGAAGGAGGAGTACAGTTTCATGACTGCACCTCAAATGGAACTGGAGAAAATGGTCAAATTGGCAAAGAACCAAAAAGAACAGAGAAAAGGCCAGTAATATAAACAACAGGGATGAGAATGGTATGATGAAAATGAGAATTCTATGAAAGAAGAACAGGAAGAAATTGAGAGATTAGGGTGTATAAAGAAGCAGTATAAACAAGAAAGATTGTCTTGAGGTATGAAGGAGAAAATAAAGTCATAAAGTTTTAAAGTCAGAGAGGACAGAAGAAGAGATGGAAGGTATGAAGTCAAAAGAGAGGCTGGTGATGGAGGTGAGATTAAAAAAAAAAGAAAAATGCAGTAAATGAGCAAGACATAAAGAGAGAAGATTGCTGTGAATGCTGTAGATCTATCAGGACTGAAGGCAGTCAGCTGTTTGCTCTGATAGGGTTTTGCCTCTAAATATAGCAGGCTCTGCGATGGACTGATACAACCGCAACAATAGACACAATGGTGGTGAGAGTAAAGGAGACACACACAAGGAGAGAAAGGCAGGACACTAAGTGCCAAATCTGTACATACAGAAAGAATTACTGCACTTGTCACCAGCCAGTAATTGCCACATGATGACATTTTTACAAACGAATGTGTTTGCACAATACAATGATATTCATGCAAGTTCCAGGACTTACCATACACAAGCACACATGCCTGCAGCAACACACACACACACACACACACACATACACTACAAAAGGATAGTACTACAACCATAAAACCACCAGCATCAAGATCCATCTGCCCAGACAGCAGAGGGAGAACCCCACTATTAGAGCCTAATTGTGGGTGTGAGCTTCAAGCTGCGTGAAAGTCAACTCTAGAACACCGCCCCACTTGAGCTCTGGATGCTCAAGATGTCAGTGTCAGTGACGGAGTGACACCGTCCCATGTGGGTGAAATTAATACCTCAACACACCGTCCCTCCTTTTTGCTATTGCTCCTTTTCCTATAAACCCCCTTTAAGGCACCCTACTGATGACAACTGTCTGTTTGCATCACTGCACATATGCATGCACAGAAATACACAGTCCTGCAAATAGGAGACATCCCCCTGCAGTCCTGAAACACCCTCAGCCTGTTCAGTATATTTATACTGAACGAACACACACACACACACACACACACACACACACACACACACACACACACACACACACACACAGACTCCAAAAGTGTCTTTAAGCACCATAAAAGAACATTTTTGTATGAGCTCAGCTGTTGTTCTGGACACCCTGTAACATGTCACGCTGACACACTTCCTTTTATCTGGAGCCCCTGGCTTCCCTCCAGTTCCTCCCCCTCCTGCATCTCTCTCTCTCTAACTTCCATGTTAGAGAGACAGAGTGGAGCTTGGTATCATTAGCATCTAGTATATAGATTTATTTAACACAGAGGTTATTAACTCATGTAAACAAGCCGTTAAGCACACACACTACTTTACAGAGGAATGTGCACCATATGTATGTGGGTGCGTTAATAATGGAGGTGAGTCTTCCTGGAAAGTGTAGTACAAGTCCTATGGATCCATCTGAGTGTCTTTCAATTGATTCAGAGGCAAGATGCATAAAAGTAGCTGCACTTAAGTTTCTGTAGCTAGTGCAACAGAAACACTAGACCACAATTCATCTAAGACTTGAGTCAGGTATAAAAATCCAATGCAGCAATAAAAGTTGCAGTATGCAACGCGGAAAAATGTACCTCTAATCTTTTACACAAATTACCGGTAAGTTGTTGAATGCAAACCAAATTTGTACTTACAGACAATTTTGTATAGTTGTTCTCAGAGGCCTTACAGTATATAAATTATTAATAAGGCTTGGGCAAACTTACAAACTTCAGTGTTATGTACTGAGCAGTTCTCATGTACTATGCAGTGTTTCTACTATTGTGTGCCAGATTAAAAAAACAAAAAAAAAAACAAAACCCCAAGTCCTAGAGTAGATACACCAGATTCATCTGCAGGAAGATGACGTGTGCTGTGTTTCTGTGAATGTAGTGCGTGTTGTTTATACACACTGTACCAGTAGTAGAAAACATATTCAAATATTTTAATAAAGTAAAAGTAGTAATACTGCATTACAAGTCCTGCACTGAAAAAGCCACTAAGGCAAATGTTCAGTATGTATCATTAGCAAAACTACTCATAATGCATAAAAATGGCCTCTCTGTTGAGGAGGAGTAGTGCAACACACATAGGTTCATCATATTGTTTGGGATGTAAAATGTTGATCTGTAAAGCTGTTAAATATGTGCAACAGACAAAAGGAAGAGAAGCAGAAGAAAATGCTGAAAGAAAAAAGAAAGCAAGAATAAAGTGAAGACGGTTTTCTCTCCACACAGTTTAGGTGTGAATACACTTGAATCCTGGCACACAAACTCTCCCTCCTCCACCTGGTGCACTTTCTGCTGATCCTGAGCAACGAGATTCTCTGAGGAGCTCCCAAAGCTGCAGAGCACAGCAGGTGATTATGAAGCTTCTTTTTGCTGCTGATGCGTCTTCCTCTTCACTTTTTGGTGTTGTGCCTGGTTTGTACTGAATGAGAGCAGACTTTGGGTTACTTGAGAAAGTGTTTGTATGCACCTCAGCATTATTCACTAAATCTCTGGTGAAAGCAACTGTCAGACGTAGAGTTACACAGATACACACATACAGAGAAGTACTCACAATTAATATCATATAAACATTTATTCTCTGTACAGTTGTAAGGAATCAATGAGAAATCTATGTCATCAGTTACTCATAGAAAAATACCTTTGCTGCACCATGGTCATTCCACACCCATACATACAAGTAATGCGTTGTGAGCTTTGTACAAAACAAAACAAAATGAGCGTGCAAACGTGACATCGATTAGGTATGAAAAAAGACATGGTATCATTTTGTATACACAATTGGCATATTTTTATAATATTCTTTAACAAAAATATCAGCAGTTTTCCCTTTTTTGTGTGCAAATTTCAGTGATTAAAGTAATCCCATAGACCAGTGAGGAGAAGGAAACTCATGAGTCTTTGGAGTGAATCTTTTCTCATATTTGGCTTCATGTGTAAAAATCAAGTAAGATGTCCTTTGAGCACAATGTTGCATCAGCACATTATGCAGTGTACTGTATGTTGTTTAAAAAAAAGACTTCTCATGTATTAAACATCCCCTTTAGCCAGTTGTTGACGTCAGAGTCCAGAGAGGCAGCAGTGTATCTCTTCAGTGAAGCAATATGACACATGATCGCTCAGAGTTTAACACAGTGTAGAAAATGTGCAGCAGATGCAAACGTCCCTCCAACATTTTCAGCCTTGCTTGAGCGATGTTAGTAAATGTTGGTGACACAGGCAGATGAGTAAGCTTGGCTTTATGGATGTACGCGTTTAGCAGTTTTTCAGGGCTTGTTTGATAGGCAGACACTCTGGCATCTCACATCGCAGTCACAAAGTCCTATCCATTCGTGAGATGAAGCTAGAGGATGGGACTGAAACAGGAAGTTCCTCCAGCAAGGACGGAGCTAATCTTCTCTTGCTTTTACAAGCAGAAAAGCTCTCAGCACAGAGGCAGGAACCTTACACAGTATTTTGTTTGACATCTACAGTTAATAGTTTTGAGATTTAGTGGTCGGCCACTACAAGTTCATAGGTAATGACCCTGTTGGATGAGTTTTTCTGATTGGTTGACCTGAGCTTCACATGGCGAGAGTATCCCAGAAGTGTATGATGTCTCAGCTGAGGTGGAGGTTAGGATGGTCCACACGAGGGCTGCAACTATAAATGGAACCACAATGAAGGACGGACACAGGGGATGCAGGGAAAACAGATTGTCATTGTATAGTCTGAACCTTTCAAGTTGATCTTTTTTAATCAAGGGTTACCAGAACATGCACAAGCAAAGTACTGGCATGTAAAATTAAATTTAGGCTTTTTTATATATTAACAGATTAGGTTATAGTGAATTTCACTTGGAACAATATTACAATTACACAGCTGCAGTGCAATCTATCAGTAACTATTGCTAGTAATACAGTATTTAGTGTAGCAGCACATAAATGTACAGTATTGATGGTACAAAAACATAAAACACAAGGTCACATGGATGCAAAGCAACTTGCCATTCACACCATGGCAAATGGTGAGGAAGGAAGCTGCCACACTAAATGTCTAAATTTCTAATTTGAGATACACTAATGAGTAATACTGGGGAATGCAGAAATGTCCAACAATACTGGACTTACTCACTGAACTAAGTGCTGGCGTGGGATGTACTTTTCATCAGGACACCGTGAGTCAGTGTTGGTCCGTTCTAACTGAGGTCCTGTACTCGGTGTGGACACTGTTTGAACTCAGTCCATTAGAACCCAGAGTCTGAACACTGATATGGACTGGGACATTCAGGTCAACATTCTCCAGAATACACTGTAGAGGAGGAAATAAAATGTCCAGTACAAGAAATGCTGTTTTATGCTTCATTTTTGGATATCAGGTGCAGAGACCAGTACCTTGGTGCAAGCTGAGCTCATGACAGATTTGTGGAACTCCCCATCTATAAGCACCTGACAAGAAATTTAAAAAACAAACAACCAACCTTTTAGACAAACAGATGTTCCAGAATCTAAGTTGACGTATCAGTGCACCTACCAGTTGTTTCTGCCTACCCTGTATCCATACACAAATGTGCCGTTACTGCAGCCCAGCTCGTCAAGTGGTGGCCTCTCCCAGCCAATCATGAGGCTGCTCTGACCCACTGTTTTGATTACCTCGACAGAGCGTACCTCTGCTGGAGCCTCTGAGGGTGAACAGACAAAGAAAGGTCAAAAATCCTAACCACCTTACATATCTATTCTTCCTGTGAATGCAGAATGACTCTAGTTCCATTTCTTTTCTTTGTTAAATGGGATGTTACTTTTATGATTCGCATGCTATTGCTAAAATACACAAAACAGACAAGCTTGGCAGATGTAGATGGAAATTAGCTATTAACTACCTCTGGTGTAATCTCTTCTCATTCTATGAGATGCATAATAAAGTTAAATAAGGCAAACTACCAGAACGTAACACAACACTTTCTCCAATACAAGAGGCAAAAAAAAAGGATGGTTCATACTATCTAGGCTGGGTTAAAAAAAAAATTTAAAAAATCACTGCACACACAATTTCAGCGACTCTTGTTTTCTCCTTAAATCAATAGAGGCATTTCAACTTTTTTTTAAACCAAGAGTTTCTGCTACAAGGTTTAGCTGTTACTACTGAAGTGTGTATAGTCTTGCTTGAAGCTGTGGTTTGTTTTGCCTCTGTCTACATAATCTTAAATACTGAATATGTGCATTACCTGCTTTGGGCCTTGCGCTCTTGGTCTTTTCTAGAGCAGCAGTGGACTCTCTGGCAGACTTGTTGGGTCTCTCAGGAGAGCGATGAGCGGACTGAGTGCAGGATGCAGCTGATACAAAGCCATGATATGCAGGGGCATCATCCGTTGTAGAAGTCATGTTAAAAATATTAACCTTGGGGACAGCTGATATGCTAAAGGCAGCTGTATCCGAGGCAGTGGATTTTGAATTAGTGTCAGAAAACATTAAGACATTGGAGTCAAAGCCAGGGGGCCTCAGAGTTAAAGGAATAGAAGATGTATGTGAAGCATAAGATGCATCGGGGATAGCAGTGATTTTCTTTGTTGGCTTTGGGGATACTGATATATTAGTGTCACTGCTTAAAATGGATTTGGCTTTGCTAGGTGTCACAGTGGCAAATGGAAAGTTAGAAGAGCTAGAGCATGCAGATGTTGTAGGTTTAGACATGTTAGCTTTAATGTGATGGCTAGTAAACATGTTAGGGCTGAACTCAATATGAGCAGATCTAGAGGCAACTGCATTAAAAAGTGTTGCTGACTTATTAGTGGCAACAGGTTTAGCTGTTACTACAGAAGTGTGTATAGACTGGCTTGAAGCAGTGCTGACAGGGAGAGAGTTATGTGGGTTACTGAAACTGAGGTTCTGCTTCTGTGTCTGAGAAGCCAGGCTCAAGTCTGCAGGAGCTGAAAATGAGAGGCTCTTCCTGGACTGACGATCCCTTCCTCTGCTCACTGGAACCTTGCAACCAGACAAACAGATTAAAAAAAAAACACTATATTAACACAATAGTTATCTGAATTTTAGACTTGATTACATGTTAATACATCCTCAAGGCTGATGTGATATCTAAGGCTAAAATGACCACGTAAAACAGAAACTGTGGTATTACTAAATGTTCAAAAAGCTCAAGTACACCTGATAGCTGCTCATCAGAGTTTTCTGCAGTTGCTCATGTAGGTTGATGATCTTCTCAGGACTACTCAGCCTCCTGCTCGGACTGATGTGTGTGCTGGAGGGCGGAGGACTAGAAGTCAGTGAGGATTCGGTCAAACCGGTCAGATCTGGGGAGGACTTCTCTTTCATGTTTGGATCATGAAATCCAAATGTTTTCTGACCACTGGTTGCTTGGACTGGTCCACTGGCAGAGGGAGACAGCTGTGTTGGGAGTGAGAAAAGGTTCTCTTAGATTTTCTTACAATCTACTGCTGAATTTAGGAATCACAGCACAAATTATTACAGATATTTCAAATATGTGTTTTAAAATACAAATGTAATTAATTTATTGTGACATGATACAATAACACTTTATTACCAGAAAAAAGTCTGAAATGTAAGAACAAACAATAATACACAATCACAACACATTAACAAACAGTAACCAGTAAATTCCTTCTACAACCCCACTTACATATTTATCATGGCCTCTTGTTAGAGCTTCCATAACCACACCCTGATTTTGATTTAACAACAATATGAACAAAATCATTTTTTCACTGATACCTTGTTAAGATTACAAATGACTGAGGTGCCTGAGGCAACTTCTATCTCACACCAGCAGTATTAATTAATGCTAGCATTTTAAATAGGACCAGAGGTTTTCACAAACCCTGTTGCTTCTTGTTACAATGAGGAACATTTCTACTGAATGAATTGAGCTTTTGCTTGACTGGAAACACAGAATATCAGAGGTGACAACTCATAAACTTGTCTTGTTACTACCTGCCATTCTGAAAAACAAAATAATAAATGATATATCAATTTGTCTATGTACTATACTACAGTGAACCATAAAATGTAATCAAGTCAGGCATGGTGACACAAAAATATGATGCCTGTCTTGCTTACTGTGGGGAAATATGTCATGGAATTAATGCAGTAATGCAGATGCAGAACTACATCCATAACAACAGTTTAATACAAGGCTTTCAAAGTGAACAGTTTGTATCGTCTCACCTGCTGTGTTGTGTTTCTGCTCAAGCCTTCTTTCAGTGGAATAACAGGTGACGGTGACACCTGGACACTGGGTTGTTCTTTCACTGGTGAGTTTGGCACAGATGAGTTGGCATTTTTCTTTGGTGCTCTTATTGGTGTAGGTGTGATCTCATGGCTGCAGACTTGAAAATTGGTTGTGGATTCACTGGTGACTATTGAAGTGTGTTTTCCACTTTCTCTGTATTTTATATCAGATTCACTGTTAAAGCCAGTTTGGTGGTGTTTGTTTACAGAAGGTAATACAGCAGAGCAGGTCTGATCAGGTGTGAATCCACTGGTAAAGTCTTGAAATTTTGAAACAAATCCCGGTATAAACCCAGTGCTGCAATCCTGGGTGTTCACGTTGCTTCCTGGTGTGAATGCTGCAGAGTAGTCCTGCAGTGCAGCATCACGGAGCAGCTGCTCGACCTGCTGTGTGAGCACGGAGTCCACACATCCCTGTCTGTGCATGGCCTTCATCAACTGAAGCAGCAAGCTATTCCTCTCCTGACACTTCACCACCAGGCACGACAGCTTGGCCTGTATTTGGATGAAAATATCTGTCAGTCAAAATCGACCTCAGTCCAACAGGAGCGTTGCCATAAAGTTACCTGACGGTTCTGCACAACAGTGAACACTGTGTACATAATGATAAAAGAATAAATAGCTATGTTCCTCACCTTTAAAGGAGCTATATCTACATCTGTCTGGCTTTTCCTTTTCAGGAGGGCATCATACTACAAACAAAGCCAAATGAAATATATGACAACTACATGAGATACAGATAAAACTGTTTACAACCTAAATCAAAGTGTGAAACAACAGTTGAGTGCTAATCCACCTTAGCTCGGATGTCATTGTAGTGTGTCCGTAGTGACGTGAGAGCGGTGCTCAGATCATCCTTGCTGCCTTGCCCTTGTTTTAGAGCGATATACTCAGAGTTCAGCTCCTCCAGAGCCACTGTCTGTGGGGTTTTACAAACACACAGAGGAACTGATCTATGTTGGGAACCACCTCATGACATTGCTGCTTCTCATTTTTATGTATCTGCGTTTAGCAGTTGCTACTTAATTTTAAGCATCATCGAATTCAAACAACAAGAACAAATGACTCTCAGGACCTTCAATTTAGTCACAGGTGAGAAGTGAAAACTCTGATTGGTCTGTGGTGCATCACACTTCCATGCAGCTAAACGTTTGCTGGTTTATGGTTAAAGCATGCTAGGTTGATTATGATGAAACTAGGCTTTCAAAGATGAGCCTGGTTTTGACCACCTTGTGCCACACTGATTTCCATTTTACATAGTCTTTGTTCATGTTCAATCCAGTAATTGAAATCAAATTTAGATATTTATATTAGAGTTTATTATGATACAATACTTAAAGAAGGAAGACAATCTGGCACTCTTACCTTAGCTTTGAGCTGAGCTGTGAGGACACTGTACTGCTCCTCTATATGGATTTTTAGAGACAGAGCGTCAGACATCTCTCTGGTCAGACCTATCAGTTTGCTTTGCAGCTCCTTCACCTGTAGCAGACAAAGCTACTGTTTAGAGCAAACAAATAATGAGTCTTTTTTGGCTCTGGAAAAAACCAGTGAGTAACAATATAAAGAACAATAAGGTGGCCAAACTAAGGAATGCATTTAGGGATTAATAAGGTCTTATACGTAAGACTAATTGAATCTGCAGCTAAAAAGATAGACCAAATGGTATTAATGGAACAGACAGAAAGATTGGAACACAATACTGAAGTTATGTACATGTTATAAACCATTTTAAAGTATATCTACTGTAGTTAAATACCTGAGACTTGAGTCGCTCATTTTCCTTCCTGGTTTCTTCCATCTGATTGGCTACATCTGTCAGTCTCATCACCTTTTCAGCTGCTTGGGTTGCCTTCCTCTCTGCCTCCACCCTCCTGACTTCTGACTGACACAATTCATTGTCCATCTTCTTGACCTTAACATGCACACAAACATTAAATGAACAGCTCAAGTTTGTTAAGTTTCTAATGATGTTTAGACAATACAGTAGAGAGAAAACAAAGCACACTAACTGCTGCTGCAGTCACTCAGATTCTTCAAGTAAATCTTTTCTTTCTGCGTCACAACAAATGTGGAGGAAGACAAGGGAAACACACCTCTACTTGGCTCTTTTCTAATTCCTCTTCGATCTCCCTCACCAGATCACGTTGCTCCTGCATTCCATAATACATGTTGTATAAGTTCGCAGCAATCACATGTATGATCTTTTGTTAAGCCATTATGCTGATGCACAAAACACTGACATAATGGACAAAAGCATAGTTCAGAGTATATATGTGCATTTTTTTCAAACCTGTAGAGAGTTTCCATATTCTCCTGTCCCAGTAGCAGTTTGGAGGCTGTTTCTTTCTTCTCTTAGGCCCTGAATTATGAGCATCATCTGCTTTTCCTCCTGTCTTAAGCAATGGACAGAATATTCAATACTTTCTTTTTCTTCTCCCAAGCTACTAACGGACTTCATCAACTTGTCGCACTGTTCTTGTAAAGTATAACACGAATGTTCCTGGTCTCTCTGATCTTTCAGACATTTAAGGGAATCGGTCAGATGGTCTCTTTCCTGTTTTAAATTGAGCACTGCCTGCTTTAACTGGTCATTCTCTGTCTGTAAACCTTGTACTGACTGCATGATTTGATCTCTCTCTTCTTTTCCACTTGAGAGAGATTCTATCATCGCCTCTTTTTCTCTTTGGAGACCAGATAAAGCTTTAGTTAGCTGCTCTTTCTCCTCTTTCAGGCCACTCATGGACCTAATAAAGTGATCTCTCTCATCTTTCAGCACACACACTATTCTGTTTAGCTCCTCTCGTTCTTGTTTAAGACCAGCCAGAGATTGAGAGATACTGTCTTTCTCCTCCTTTAGTCCCCAAACTGTCCGAGTTAACTGTTGTTTCTCTTCTGTCTGCGTTTGGACTGACAGAGCCACTTCTCTCTGCTGCTCTCTGAGATCATTTATGCAGCCTGACAGTTCCTCTTGTTCTCTTTTGAGTGTCTGGATCGACTTGGTCAGCTGGTCCACTTGATCAGCCGATGAGCTAACATGAAGAGTGTTTTGTGGGCTGTTCTGCAATGGATCATAGTGATTCTTATGCTGGAATCCAGGTGCTGAACCTGTGGTCAAATCATCTGTTTGTTGGCTAGATATTAACTGTGGTTCTGCTCCTTTTAGCACATTTTCCACCAAACTGTCAATGCATTCTTCTAGGTTGCACTGCTCTCCACTCTTTTCTAACTGTTGCTGCAGCTCCATGATGGTATTAAGATCATCTTCAGTCTTCCTGGTGAGCTCTGTGATCAGACACCCTTGTTCCTGGTTCTCCTGCTCCAGCCTGGCTCTATCCTCTTCTAACCTAGAGACGTGATTCTTCAGCTCCGATTCCTCAGTCTTCATCTCCTCCTCTCTGAGCTCAATGTGAGCCAGCAGCTCCTGGATCCGGTCTGCCAAGGCCCGGTTCTCCTGATTCAGAGCCTGGACAAGATCATTCTGGGCGAGGGCAAGAATGGTCTCATCTTGGATAGAAGAGGACTGGAGATGGTCGGCTCCATCACAAGTGGACGATGAGTTAATCTGTGTATACAGAAAGATAGAATTTGATCAGTGAAGTTAAGTTGATGATGTAGAATGTAGTTTGTTCAGCTGTATAAAACATGAGTACACTGAAACTCCTGTGACATATAATACCTTTTCTCTTGACAACCCTTGCTGTGCCTCTGCTTCTTCTTCTTCTGCCTGTTTCCTGAGTTGTAGTTTCAGTTGAGAATTCTCCTGAGCCATCATCTGCAGCTGCTCCTGTATGTGCTGCATGGCGGCCTCACCTTGCTCATGAAGGGCCTCTAGATCTTCCTGTAACCCCAAGCTCCGGTACGCTTCCCTCAAGGCATCAGATTCCTCACTGGGGCTATTCTGCAAGTTTATGAATCCTCTGGAGAACCAGGTCCCCAGTGTAAGCTCATCTGTTGTCTCTGTAGTCAAGGTAAGTGACTGGAAGCTGGGGTTAGGTTTGGAGCCTTGGTTGACAGAGAGTTTCAGAGGATCTGATTTGGCAGAAGAAGAGTGATTCTCTGTGTTGTTCTGAGTGGCCTCTGCTGTAGCCTGGTGGTGTCCAGGTGGAACTGCAGGTGAGTGGGACTGGTCTATTTCATCATCAGATTTTGGCTGGACCTGCACATAGATCACAATTCAACACTATGTGGGACAGAAGTTGGTAACAGTTAAAAATAAATATGGAAAATATTATGATAATCATAATTCATGCCTTTGCCAGCTACAGTGAAATATTGCTATTGAGGTACACATGTATAAGCATTCACAAAAAAAGAGATGATTATGTAACATACTAAATCCTAGCTTTCCCCTTTTCATGTCTTATCATGAAATAACAAGAAAGTATTTACAACATTAAGCTACCAGAAGACATATTCACTGATCCTTTAGTTCATTTTACCTACCATATTTGACTGAAAAATGAAATAAAATTAATCAAAGAAAGGAACTGACTCCATTTAAATTAGTCATGTGTCTGAGATCAACTAAACTGCTATGAGTTTAAAAACAGAAATCGATGAATTAATGACTGACAAAGATGTAGGGCACTAACAATCTTCTTGATTTACAGAAGCTCTCAACAAATGCTCTTTGTTGTGAGTGAATATTTTACATATTCCTGGTTTCCATACACATAACAGTACTAAAACTGTTCATTATAAATGGTTGGAATTTGGTAAGATAATGTAGCAGTCTTACTTTTACACACATGGAACAACTGGCACAGAATATGAAGATTTCTTCAACCATACTAAGTTTTTTTTTCTCTTGACTGCAATCGACCATCATGTCTGACTTGACTGGCTTGACTTGTGCTTGTGAGATATTCTACACTCTCATGCCCAACTTTATGCAGAGATAAATATTGTACTAATCAGTGTGTAATGTAAGAAAAGGTAGAGTGGTCCTTACTAGCGACAAGAAGAGAGCTACACGCCACCATCTATATTTCTGTTTAAGTCTCCAACTGTAGCTGCCTAAATACTGTATGTCACATCTACTCTCAAATTTAAAACTACAGTTCATCAGATGAGATCTCAAGAATGTAGATCTCAAGAACTGCACAATTAAATACTGAACTTTTTAGACCTTTTTAGAGATGCTGCAGCTGGGGGAGCTGGGCCCAGGGCTCAGGCATGTGGACTCAGGGATTGCAGATGACTGACTGGTTGTTTGGTTTGCAGCTTCCCTGAGGATCTGCTGGAGTCGGTGGTTCTTCTGTCTCAGCTGTTCAACCTCCTCCATCAAGGAGTGTTCAGACAATTTCAGTTGATGCACCTCTGCCTTCATGTCCTCCACTTTGCAGCTCAGGAAGTGGCTGTTCTCCTGGGCCTCTTGGAGCTGCTCCGTCAGTTGCCTCCGCTCTGTCATGCCATCCTCCTCTCTCTCTAGCAGCACCCTAAGATCCTCCTGGAGGCTCAGGATGAAGCCTTGCAGCCTGGCCTCATTTGAATTCTGTCTTGTGTCCTTGTTTCTTCCTCCTTCTGTCTCTTTCTCTGTCTTTCCCTTATCACCCGCTCGTCCTCCTTCTCTTTCAATTCTCACACTTGGCCACCATTGCTTCTTTATCTCTTCCTTTTTCTCCTCTTCTCCTTCACCCTGTCCCCTCATGAAAGTTAGCCTCTCTTTTTCTTCCCAGTGCGTTGAGGTCCCAGCAGTAATTCTGACTGCACTGATCGCTGCCGTGCCAGTGGCTGCACTCACAGTCAGGTCAAGCAGCTGCTTTTCTAAAGTGCTGATCCGGCTCTGTAGGCCCTGCTCTCTGTTGTGAGCCAGGCTGAGTTTGTGCTGAAGTTGGGCTTTAAAGTTCTCGAAGTACTGAGACTGGCGACTCATCTCCTCCTCTTTGGTCTTCAGCTGCCTCTGACAGCGCTGCAGTCGCTCCCTCCAAACTTGGTCCACTTGCTCCTTCTCCCGAGTCTGAGAAGGAAATGAAGGCAAGAGGGAAAGAAAAAAGTATTAAAGCAAGAGAGACCACAGTGAAGTTTGAAAAAATCAACTCCTGAGTTACAATAATCCCAACACTGTTACTCAAAGCTTGCTTGTGTCTTTACAGTAGATGTTGTCTGTTTTGACCTTTGTCAAACTTGTGCCTCTTTAGTTTTTTTTACTATGAATGACCAAACAAACCAGTTATAATAAAATTTCCTATTTATCAAAGACAGTGAAATTACTTAGATTTAATATAAAAAAGTATAACTTAAAATAAGACTCAAACATGAAGGTTGCTCAGAAAACGTTTTGACCTAATCAGTTTGTGTCTGATGAAGTCCACTGTAATGAATGAAAATATAGATGGGTGTAGGTAAAATGACATAAATACTTTAAAAGCCTAACTGTGACCGACCACGCTGCCATAGTGGTTGGATTAAGTTGCATGCCGGTTAACAGTACTAGTCAAAACCTACTGTATTACTGTTTTATAAAACAAACAGTACACTGAGAATGAGAGAAACCAATTTCTCTCAGTCTCATATTTTTAACACAGTTCACCTTACATGTCAAGTTTTTTTTTTAGTTTTGACCAATTAAAATGCAAATGAAAATGGCCTCTTCAGGGGCATGTTAGTTATTTATGACTTTTCAGATTTGTATATTAAAGTGCCTCGAGATCGCTTTCATAGCAGACAACCTAATACAAACCAACCTCTGTACTATATAGGGGTATAAGAAAATATCAATACACTTGAACAGTGTGATAATATACTTTGCAATAGCGATGTGGTTCTTTAAAACACAGTAGTTCACCTGCCAAGTAGTGTTGTTGTTGTTGGATGTTACAGGGACTGTGACAAATGTAAATGCAGATCCCTGTTCTGATTGCATAAAAAATAAACTATTTTTTTACAAGAAATTTTATGCATATGGTGGTGTGTTATTTTCTCTAAAATTTTACTTGTTTTAAAAATCGCAATACTGTATATTGCCTTGTTTACGATATCACAATACATCTCATTATATCATATCGCAACACCTGTATCATGATATGTATCGTATCACCAGATCCTTGCCAATACACACCCCTATACTACTATAGCTCTTCTTTTAATTATAATTATGTTTGTACATAGTTAAAGTCCTGTTCCATTATTTTGTTCATCCATTTTGTACATTGCATTAAAAAAGCATTTTCCAAAAGTACATGTTCAAAACTGTGAATTTGTTTTGGCTTGTACGCCAATTCCCACTGACACATTCACAGATCTTGATCACTCACCATGGTCCTGACCTCCTCCCTGAGCATGTGGAGTCTCTGGTCCAGCCTCTGGGTGTGTTGCATGCTGGGGAGGTGGGAGGCTGAGGCTAGCTGACAGAGCTGTAGCAGTAGGCTCCTCTCTGATCTTTCTAACAGTCTGATCCTACCATCAAACAAGACAGACAAGATAACACTGCCCCATCTTTTTAATTTGCACATTAACAAAAGTAGAAGACAATGTCTTCCTCCGTTAACTGGACCCAAACCTACATGTTTTTTCCTTTTACCTTCTAACGTGAGAAACACAAATAAAATCTTGTACAGCAAGCGGTTCCAGTGGAGATGTTAGCAGAAGCACCGTACTTGCATGTTTAGTGCATGTGTGCAGTGCAGTCAGGAACATGAGATATGTGATATCACCTTAGGCAAAAGTGAGTATATAGTAGCAGCTGTGTGTATCACTGGATCCCCTTTCCCCCAGTCTCTCACCTGTTCCTCAGGTAGCTCTCAGGTTGGACGGCTGAGCCTGCTTTCTGCTCCAGGATTTTCACTCTGTCACACAGGTTCGGGTCAGATTCCATGGAGTCTGTTGCTGTGGTAACTGAACTTCTTCCGGTACTCCTCTTGTCTAATAAGGTCATGTGATCCTCCATTGATTAGCCTGTGTCCACAAGGCGAGTTTTACCTGTGAAACAAGAGCTGTTGGTGTCTTTCAATACAGAAAATGCAAAAAAGGAATGCTTCTCCATTGTCCCTACACATCTTTGGCCTGCTTGTATTTTTTCTTATCTGCAGGTCCACCATAAATACACAAAGATACATATGCACAAAATACAGTCATCTATTATTCATAATGTCAACAGCTTGGTAGCAAGTTGTTGAGCACAGGTATCTCTCAGGTTACCCCGCCTCCTAATCCTTCCCCCTTCAGAAACTCCTACTACATTCTACAAATCCTCTCATCCTGAAAACTCAAAGGGATGTGTCATCATTTTTCAAGTCTGTCTTAAAGCAACAAGCAGTACTCACATGCCTATATGTGCACCGAAACACTTTTTGCTAGTTTACCTGAAAATGTCACCCAAATGCATTTCTTTCAAATTTACAATCTGTTTGGTATAAGATTTCCTCTCTATACGTTTATTTCCCCAGAGTGTTATCACCCCAAGTTGTGATGGAGGGCTGGTGAAGCAAAGAAGAAATTTCATACCATCCTTGAGCACTGGAAGAGCACTAAGGGATCTCCTAATGTCCAGAATAGACAGCACGTTTGATTACTGTTTCAGTCTTAATATGACAACAGCCAAATTTCCATATGAACCCATATGACCAACTATTGCCTGTAATGGGGTGAACCTGCTCTTTAAGCTCAACTTAATAAGTAAGCTAGTTTGGCTAATAAATAACTCATTACAGTCAAAAGTACAATGGATAAACAATTCCTATTATATAGCCAAAAAATAATGTGGAGATTTTGAGTCAAAGAAAAATACAAAGGAGTAAATTCTTTAAGGTAAACTTAAATAATGACCTGTTTTGTGTTCTCCAGTGCAGCAATGAGCTTCCAGTAAGTTCAGCTTCTGCTCTGTGAACTTAGTTGCACATTTGTTTCCTTAGCAATGCTACAGACGCTGGACTTTGCCAGAATCCTCCATATCCAGTTGGCACTCAGCTTGTTTCCCCCCTGCTCACTCAGCCATCCTTCTCACTCTTCTTCTCCTCCTCCCATCTCCCCTTTTCTATTGTCTGACTGGACATTCCTTCAACTGAGACTGTGGCTCTTCTGTCTTTAATAGATCCTCTGATTCAGACTTTTCTCACAGTAAATCTATTTGTTTGTCTTCTCACAGAGGTTTTATATTTTACATCCAATAACTATTATACTACATGTTATTTATAAATAAATCTCACTTTAATTTCATGAATGTCTGGTATTTATAACATTTTCAAATATATTTGCATTCCAGGTAAGGGTCTCCTTTACAAAAGTGCACGTTTATCAAAAAGGCCATAGGGTTTTTGTGAACTGTCTACAAATGCATAAAAAACAAATTGGTTTTGTTTTATCGTTGCTTGGCTCCACAGCACCTCAAAACCTGAGAAAAAGAAAAACATGTTCATTTTTTCCTCGCTATTATAACTATCAAGAGCATGATAACCGTGCTAAATGCTGATATGAGTAAATAAAAGGTGCTACCTGATATGGGTCCACGGTCACTTTCATTAAGGCCAAAGAATAAATGCTAAAGAGAAAAACAAAAAGAGGAACAAAAACTAAACAAAACACAAGGGGTTTCATCAACAGGTGAAAAAAGAGAGAGAAGAAAAAGCATGTCAAAAGGTTTATAAAATAACACACAGCACCAGTACAGTAGCATTCTTCACATTCTCTTTTACTAATCTTTGCCTTGTGAAGTTATTATGGTTCACATTTCCTCTACCAGCCAAAACAACAAAGCTATAAAGTAAAATTGAAATGTATAAAATTTAATATGTACCTTTTCCTCAATCTCCTTTATTTGTCTCTTTTGAAAGTCAATCCTGTCTTCCAACTCTCTAATTCTCTGCAAGGTGTGAAGACAGTAGTGGTTAGTTGGTCACAGTAACGTAAAAAGCTAAAACCATTTGGCCAAGTCTCACACAGTCATGTCTTTATATGTACAAAAATAAACAGGTGTTAAACAGTTAATAAGCAAATAAGACAACTATTAGCCCCAGAGTACACTGTACACTCCAAAGACTCTGCCTCTTTCCCATCATGCACCCCTGTCTCCATGGTAGCTGTGCTGGGCAGGAATGAGATGCCATGGCAACCAAGGAGAAGATTTAACTGAACAGTAGAAGTGACTCCATCTTTGAGACTTTAAATCTGAGGGGCTTTTTCAGTGAATCCCTGTTCCTAACATATTTTCTGAAACAGCTCTCCACTCTGTTATCTTATCTACAGAAAAAGGGAAGATACATATTCATATGCAAACACACAAAGCAGGGCATATTTATGAAATATTTTTACTGAACTTTTAAGTGAGACTACATGAGAAGTTTCTGAGATTTTTATTCTTGGATCAATCAATGATGCCTAATAAATATACAATGTTTGCAACCCAGTAAACCTTGATTTCTAGCCTAGGCAACAGCTTATTTGTACAAATACTGTCCTTTATCTTCGCATTTTGATTATTTAGTTAGTGTTGTGTGAGTAGGTGATTAAGTATGTGTTTTGTGATTAGAGATTACAATACACCTAATTCAAATGAACTGTGAGGTGCTGTGGTTCTTGATGTAGTCGATGAACACAAGCCATGGGTGTAAAATTACTGTGAGGACTGTGGAGTGGAGGTGTACTTGGGGGGCATCCAGATCACAGTGAGTATACAGTATACACACACAGTCACAGAGTAATTCTTTTCACTCATCCATGTATACATGTACACTTACAGGTAAAGTTATGGGTAGTACACACAGGGATACTGCATCTTTTTCATAACACCAGAGGTCTGGTGGGGTCAGACAATTCAGACAAGTACCAGGGGTCAGACTGTGGGTGGGCAGGATCCAATAACCTCACTCAATTTGTTATAAACCTTACCTGCTGGGCCTGCTGTAGGAGCTCCATGCGCTCCTGTAAGATCTGACTGTCATACTGCCGGCTCTGCCGGAGAATCTGACGCCGCAGCTTGTCCATGGCTAGCCTCAGCTCCTCCCTCTGCCTGTCTGTCAGCGACTCGGCCACCGCCCGGCATGCCGGCTGCTCCTGCTGCAGAGCGCTATACAGCGTGCCCTCCAGCTCCTCGATCCTCTGCACAGCCAGCCATATACACACACATACAGGTACACACAAACAAACACACGTTGACATGCACATGCGCATGCAGAAACACACACAGGCGTGCACAAGCACACGTGGGGCCACACACACACAGACAGATAACCATATACACACAAACACACACACACCACTGTGACTATGGCAGACTGGGGGTTATTTAGACTTCACATGGTAACTTTCATTATATTAACACAAATTGTGCTTTTCTTCTCAGTCTCCATCAGGTGGATTCCAGTAAAGTTACCATGTAAAACCACACCTTCACCAACACAATATAAAGTGGGACCATTAACACAAACCAGCACTAAAACTGACCAAATAAAATAGGTATAGTTATGTGGAGAGTGACCTAAATGTTAATGTTAACTTCTGCTTCCTGGGTACAGCCTATTCAAGTTCTGTCAAGCTAATTCATCAAACAATATACCTTATTAAACTCATTTTGTCTCAAATTCTTCTTCGGCTTCACCAGGTGTCCACTTAAAACAAGTGAGTATACACAGTATGAAGTATTTATATATCTTTACAAGAGTGAGTAAATCAGTGACTGGCCTTCTGGGAAGATAAATGGGTCTCAGGCCAGTAAACAAGAAGCCAAATACCCCAGCCAGGTCACAGAATTTAGACTTCAGTGATAAAAGATGCAGTATCCCAAAACAATGTGACAAATTTTACCTTTATGAAGCATTCATGGTGTTTAATGGGGTCTCAAATGTATGTGTCATGCTGAATGACAATGTTGCACCACTGCATTGCTAAACTTTCAGTTTATCTCAAGTGATTATGCTTTGATAAATGGTATATTAAATATAAATGAGTGATATTTGACTATTAGAGGCTTTGACCGAGGTTAATCTGAACAGGAACTACAGTTTAAATCACACTGCTCCAGGCTCCATACCATGTAAGCCTGGTCCAAGGCCTGCTTTCTATAGTCCAACTCCTCCTCCAGGAATCCTTTCTGCTTACTGAACAGCTCCTACAACAAGATGTAAAATAAGTGAATACAATCTTACAACTGAATGTTAGAGTATAAATGTATATAGTATAGAATCAGAAAAACTGTTAGAGCTGCATTTTATAGGTGGAATTTTAGAAATTACATTAGTAGAATAAACATCTTGCATATAACAGTGAAAATCTGAGAATATTTGCATCTGATACCACTTAACCAGACAGCCAAAACATTAGAACTGCTCTCATGGTAAACTGATTTTTCACCTTGTCATTTTCCAGGTCAATCATCTTCTGTGTGAGAGCAGCCTCTGTGCTATCTATTTGCTTCAGCCACTACAAGGGGGGGGGGGGGTTAGG